GTTGTTTATTTATTCAGTTTCAAATGGAGGCAGCAAATTGCCATTGTCACCTCTCAGTATATGTTGATTTAACTCATCTTCTTATAATTGTCAAATTTTTTACTCTTTCAAACTTTTACTTAATAATGTGGGGTGAATAATTGATCTCTCTCTCTCTCTCTCTCTCTCTCTCTCTCTTTGGATATATATTTTTCTTACTTGTGGTATAATCTTTTTCCCCAATTCCTCTTTTCACCCTCAAGATTAAAATTTCAAATCATCACATCTGTATGAATGCATGTATCAGGGGGTATAGGTGTGCACGTGTGAAGCAGTAGAAACAATGGTTAAAGAGGAATACATAAGTCATCATTTAGAGCTGGCATGGAATCTGTGCAGCAACAAAAGTCAAAGATTTGTTGGTTGGCACTTGCAAGTTTTCAGGCGTTACTTCCAAAACTTGATATGAAAGCTGGGAGCCATTTTATCTGCTTTTCTGCATGCAATGGCACTATGTAGGGGGATACGGCTATCATCTCTCTTTTCTCTTTTAACGAACAAAAGGAAGGCGATAAAATCCCCCCCCCCCCTTTCTCTCTCTCTCTCTCTCTCTCTCTTTTGCTCTAAGAAATTTTATGGGAGAAATTGCATGAACTGAGAATTGAACCAGTCCTGCATCTTACACTGGTAAAAAAGAGGTATTGACGAAGGATAACTTGGAATAAACATAAAACTTGTATAGAATTTGTTGATAAATTTATATTTATTTCATTAGAAAATTTATGAGTTCAATTTTTCGCTATTTTAAGAACAAATTTTATTGTTTTTTAGTTTTATAAAAAAAGAAATGTCTCTTATGACCTTAATTCATTGTTTTTAAATTACTTTTTTTTTTTTGAAGTGAAAAAGTTAGATCAATTATAAATTCATAGCAATTATTATAATCCTATCAATATATTAACAAAGTAATTCTTAAATTTTTTAAATTAAATATTATAAATTAATTACTATTATTCTATAATACTTATACGACCATGTTGTAATGAGATAAACATTCTATCATCATAAATTTTAAATACTTAACCAATAAAACATCGTACTTTTAATGTGTTTAAATCATTTATATCAATCATCATAAGTTCTAATATCCTAAAAGTCATAAGAGCCGGATTCATCCAACTTATTGATTAGAAAATTCAAATTTAGCATGATAACCTTTCAATATTACAAAATAATCTTTTAGCAAAAAAAAAAAAAAGTTTTACCTTACTAGTTAATCAAATAGTTGGTTTGATTTAATTATTATTAACCGTGCTATGTACTATTTTAAAAAATCAAATTCAATCTAATGTTTATTTTTTATTATCTAAATATTTACTAGAAAATTTTCGTGTTTAAAAATTATTTCAATAAGTAATATTATGACATATGATAACTACCAATATTACTTTTATGTATACCATAGATTATTTAATACATAAATTAGTTTACCAACAAAAAATGTACTTTAGAAAAAATTATCCATTTCTAAAATGTATGGAGCAATAATCCCATCAATTTAAACCACAAGCAAAGAAAGTATAGGCTAAAATCTTTGTGAAGCTGAGGTATATAGATATTCATGAATCTCGCAAGATGAGGCAGAGCCTAAGCCATTGGTTAAATGAATGTCATCATTCAAATTCCCAAATTAGATTCAACAATTTGGAGATAAAAGGGTTAGGATTCACATAAACAAATACAATTTAAAGTTGTCTTTATATTATCATTATCACTATTGTTACTGTTATCATTGTTACCATAAATTTACATTTAAGGTATTTTTTGCTCAGTTCTTAATTCATTTATGTATTTATTTATTGCTACCGTGATTCATTGTAACTATATTTCATTGCAATCATTTTGCTTTATTTCAATCCTCATGACAACGTAAACAAATTTTATACTAACAAATTATCATCTTAAAGACTATTATATTTCCATTTCTACATTGTTAATTACCTTTTGGTTGCAATTATGCTGGTTTATATATTTGACATGAAGCCCTAATTTACCGTTGTCATACAGGAAACGATGGGAGAGACAACTAATTCAGATAAACATGAAGAAAAAGTTGAGAACAAGGACAAACCTGAGAAGAAAGAGAAACATGAAGAGGCAGATAACACAGAAAAAAAGGGAGACGACAAAGTGAAGGAAAAAAAGAAGAAAGACAAGGATGGTAAAGATAAGGAGAATCAAGAAGATGTTGGAAAAGAGAAAAAGAAAAAGAACCCTGAAGACAAAAAGAATCCTGCAAAATTGAGGGCCAAGCTTGAAAAAATCGATACAAAGATTCAGGAACTGAATAAAGAGAAACAAGATATTCTGAAATTGCTTCAGGAAGTTGAATCCAATGAAGCAAAAACAAGTGTTTGATTCACTCAGGCCCTGTCAAATGCACAATGCTTCAAATATACATGCATATGTATATATATTATAACTGTGAGAATAACAGTGTATCTTAATTAAGTACTTGGTTATTGTATAGCAACGGTTTAGCCTATGCAACAGTAATTACTGTTTATAAAACAGAAAAGAGCTTATAAGCTCAAGTAATTCAAAGAGAAAGTAACATTTCATTCATCTGCTGCATACCAGAGAATTATAGACACCGAAACTAGTAGCTTGTTAATTCAATACCTTTAAGTGGGATAATTCATTGAAAATATATACAATAACAAGTATTAGTTTCTTGATTTATAGAATCTACCCTTTTACTTTATGAATGAAACTTTTGCCTAGGATACGTTGAAAAGAAATGAATACTTAGTTTAAACATAAAAGCATGGTATTCAATTCCAGTTAATTTTAGATTTAATTAAAATTAGTGAAATTTTGAAATAAGTCACGACAGTTCACAAAACCATTAGGGCATATTTTGAAGAGAAATAACTTCACAAAAGTAGTTAATTGTTTTCCCAAGTCAGTAATCCAAGCTTTAATGAGCTATCAAATGAACCTTGAAGAGTTCTTGGAAACTTCGCTTTAATACAAGTTTCCTATTCTAATTTGTTAGCACATGAGGAAACTTCCTTTTTGGTTTCTTGTTTTCACTGCCCATAAATTTTGCTGCTAACCAACCTGAACAGGTTAAAAACGAAGCTTAAACCATACTGTCTTTCCAGTTTGAACAAGAAAATGAGAAAGCGTCCTGGTCTTTATGATGATATTGGCAAAAAGGCCAGAGGTTATATATATACATATCATCTTCTGGTGATCGCATTTTTTTTTATTATATCTCTGCTTTTAACTTTACTTACACATTTGTTTTCACTAGATCTTCTCCACAGGAATTATGCTCATCAACCACCAAACCACTATCACGACCAGTGCATTGACTGGAATCTTGATTTCTCCTGTCAATGTATCTTCTCTTCATCTTCCAACATTTCACAAAGTAGACTCTATATATGCACACACACACATATATATATATATATATCTTATTTTGGATCAAGTGGATAATGGTCAAATACTGATTTGTTGACCTAAATGATTCCTGTAGTTGGAGAGATTATACCAGGACTTAAGGCAGCTATCAGATTGATAATTCCTGATTCTACCAGGGTAAAGTCACCTGCCCCTTTTTTTTTTTTTCCTTTTTCTGATTTTACCAAGATTAAACCTCTGAATTCAAGAATCATGAATGTAATGTACTCACAGGCAGAATTGCGGTACGTGCACGACTACATTGGAATTAATGCAGGGCTTGGATTAAAAGCAAATACTTCTAAAGAATTTGACCCAATTGTATACTTCTCAGGAGTTGTAGGAACCACCCTTTTCTCCATGGGCACAGCCCTTGGTTTTGATATGTCAACAAGAGCTCTCAACAAATTCAACATCGGCTTCACTTTCAACACTGACTCTTTGCTTACATCCCTCAGCCTGTAAGCAATATTTTTTTCTTTTACTAACAAGAAAAAAAAAACAGTTATGTGAGCGAAGAAATTAATCGAACAGTTAGCAAGCAAGAAAAATAAATGACATGAAACTATACATAAGTTCGCCAGCTACACCTATTTTCACAAGAGAAATTGATAAAATATTAATCCAACAGTCAGAGTGCAGTCAAAGATAAAATATTAGGCAATGCTAAGTTATGAAGCGGAATTAGTTCTAATATCATATTAGGTTATTATCCAAATCATAGGAAGTTTGCAAACATTACCTAATAGATCTATAAACAAGTAGAATTCCTGTTAATTGGTTGACATAGAATTATCGATCCTTAACACAAACCTTAATCAGTGATTATAACAGACGATTTGATCTTGAAAACGTTGCAGCAATGACAAATTTGACAGTCTAGAAGCTGCGATGCACTATACGTTCAACCACAGGACAACAATTGCAGCAGAGGTGAAGCACAACGTTTCGGAAGAGTGGACGACGGTGACAATTGGGGCACAGCACGCGGTGTTTCCATTTACATTGGTGAAGGCTCGTGCCAACACCGATGGCAGAGTTGGCGCGCTTGTTCGGCAACATGTGTGCGAAAAGCTCTATATTGCCATCTCCGGAGAGGTAGATATCAAAACTGTAAAATCCAAGACGCCGAAGCTTGGATTTTCTATGGCTCTCTCGCCATAGCTAGACCTTTTTCCCGTTCTGCAAACCATAATATTGTAATTTGAGGCCATATATACATATATATAGTGTTTGTTGAGGAGGCAAATGCAAAGCGAAAGATTTTACTTGAAGATCCAATTTCACATGCCAAATATATATATACACATATAATTCCACGTTGGTGTTTAACAGTTTTTGGTATTTCCATGGTGAAATACGTCATATATATAATATATTATCAATGTGATATTTTCTTTAATTTATGCAATATTTTTATTTATTTATATAGGAGAAATTTAGTGAAACTTATTATTATTATTGATAGATATATTATATATCATATTTTAATTATAAAATTTTTAATAATAATTAAAATAAATTAGTTTAACTAATAATATTATATTTATATAATATTTTTATTTATTTTATAGAAAAACTTACCTACTTAAATTTTTAATATATATTATATATAATGCAATTAATAGTATTTTAATTTATATAGTATCACCTCTATGAAAATTTGTCCCTCTTAATATGTACACTATGTACAATATATTAAATTATATGATGTTTAGTAATAATCATAATAATTTATAGTATATGTTTAATTATTTTGTAAGTGAATGTGTATTTAAGACTATAATAATTAATATATGCAACATATTTTTATATATAGTAATTAATTAATATATGTATGAAAATAATTTTTTTTTCCATAAAAATATGTAAAAATACATTTAAATTTTCAAATAATGATAAATTTTATTTTAGAATAATTTTGAGCATGTAATTTATCAAACACTAATGTATATATTCCGCCTTGAAATGTCTCCATATTTCAATTTTATCAAATACATCTGCTATCTCCAACAAACCTTCATCTTTTGATATTTCATAACGGATCGGGATTAATGCCATTGTCCCTTATTCGATTTAAGGACTGTTATGCTACTTCACTAATTATTCAAATCTAAAATAGTAATAATTTCTATATTTCAAATTATATTCTAATCCTAATTTACCTTCTCCTGCTTCAGAAATCACAAAGGGCTTCTAGAAACACCAATATCCTTGCCATGCTTAAGGCCAATCTCTCTTGATTTTTAGTTTTCTATCCTCCACATGTTTGATTTGACCGCAATTGGACGCAGATACTGAAACATGTCGCCACATTTCTTCAGATAAAGATGGAGATATAGTGACAGGTACAAAATCTTGCCATTTCAGAAACCTCCCTTCTCATACTAGAACATGTTGCTATATTCATTCAGATCAAGATAGAGACATACCCACAGGTAAAGAAAAGCTTGCCATTTCAGAAACCTCCCTTCTCATACTGGAACATGTTGCTATATTCATTCAGATCAAGATGGAGACATACCCACAGGTAAAGAAAAGCTTGCCATTTCAGAAACATCCCCTTAATGAAAGCCATGATATTTTCTCAGCACCGAGTAAGTGATCTCAACTGGTGCACCCCCCAAACAGAGTTCAAACTAGACTATGGTTTGGTTTTCCTAGTCCAGCTATGTAATTTTTACCCTTTTCCATATCCTTGTTAGAAAGGAGAAGAGAGAGCAACATGATGAAGAGGAAAATTACTCTGATTTTCTGATCTTGTTCATCGACAGCCAAAGAAAATATATACAGCTTTTGTTGTACAATGGCAGAGAGGAAAAAACAAAAACGGTTACAATTAACATATTAATTTTATTTTATCACTAAGTAATCTTAATACTCTCCCTCAAGAAGGAGAATACAAATTTATTGTACCCATCTTATTCAATAAATTGTCGAACTGCGTAGGATGAAGTGTTTTTGTCATTAAATCTGCTAGTTGATTCCGAGTGGATATATGCATCGTCTTCAAAGTACCATCTTGAATTCTTTCACAGACAAAATGGCAGTCAAGTTCAATATATTTTGTTCTATCATGATATACTGGATTTGAAGCAATGTGTAAAGCTGTCTGATTATCATAATAAAATAATGTAGGACCTTGATATTGCACCTTTAAATCTCGCAACAATTTCAGAATCCACACTATTTCATATGTAGTATTGGCCATGGAACAATACTCGGCTTCTGCAGATGACCGAGATACAACTTGCTAATTTTTTTATTTCCACGAGACTAATGAAAACCCAAGAAAAATACAATAACCAGTTAGAGGTCTTCTAGTGTCAAAACATGTGCCCTAATCAGCATCAGAAAAAGTCTTAATCTGAATGGCAGATGATGAAGGAAAGAAGAGACCCTGTCCAGGTGTTCTCTTGATATATTGAAGAATCCGCAAAGCAGCCCGAAGGTGACTGGACCTAGGAGCAGCAATGAACTGACTCAGTCTATTGACAGAATAGCATATATCAGGGTGAGTGATGGTTAAGTACAACAATTTTCCAATCAGTCGCCGATAACTTGTGATATCACACAGAAGTTCTCCATCATCTTTAGACATCTTAATATTGGGTTCTATGGGAGTAGATGAGGGTTTACAACCAAGGTATCCAATTTCAGTTAACAGATCCAAATCATATTTTCTTTGGCATAAGGTGATTCTTGTGTCATTTCTTGCAATTTCAAGTCCAAAAAAATATCAGAGACTTCCCAAATCTTCCATTTTAAATTTTTGTTTGAGTGCAACTTTGAGTTCTTCGACAGCATGATCATCATTACCAGCAATAATAATATCATCAACATACACCAACAATACTAGGAAAACATTACCCTGATGCTTGACAAATAAGGAGTGGTCACATTGTGACTGATGGAAACCTTCTTGAAGTAATACTTGTGAGAACTTGTGAAACCACTGTCGGAAAGCCTGTCTCAACCCATAGATTGACTTGTGTAGTCGGCAAACGGGTTGATGTGGAAGAGTCTCCCCCTCTCGAGGAGAATAGCCTGGAGGAATATTCATATAAACTTCTTCATGAAGGTCACCATGAAGGAAAACATTGGTAACGTCTAACTGAGTCAGACTCCAACCATGAATAGCAGCTAGTGAAAGCAAAATTTTTACAGTAAACAATTTTGCAACAGGAGAGAAAGTGTCAATGAAATCAATGCCAAGTTGTTGTGTGTAGCCCTTAACAACCAGACGGGCTTTGTGTCTCTCTACAGTCCCATCGGCTTGATATTTAACTTTATAAACCCACTTACAATCAACAATTTTCTTCCCAGGTAGAAGGAAAATAATAGACCAAGTATTATCGTTCTCTAAAGCACGTAGCTCCACATTTATAGCGGTCATCCAAACATCGGACTGGATAGCCTCATAAAAGGTGGTAGGCTCAGTGTGGGAGGAAATGACATAAATAAAATTGTGATATTGAGGTGTAAGCTTTATATAAGTAAGGAAGGAGGAAATGGGGTAAAGTGTATGTGTATCTGTATCGTAGCAGTGATAGTCAGATAAAGTTGTGATATTGAGGTGTAAGCTTTGTATAAGTAAGGAAGGAGGAAAGGGGTAAAGTGTATGTGTATTTGTATCGTAGCAGTGATAGTCAGATAAATAAGAAGGTGGTCGTGTTACACGTAGATGGCGAGATGGTAGTGTTTGGAAAGAGTCATGTTGTGAATGGGTAGGTGTATCAAGAGAACTTGGTGATTGTGTAGGTGCATGGAGAGGAAGAGGTAAAACATGGTCATGAAAAAGGTCATTGTCAATGGGACTAGGTGAGTGAGATGAAAGAAATGGAAAGATATATTCATGAAAAATGATGTTTCAAGAGATGATGATTTGATTGCTCTCGATGTTGAGAAATTTATATCTTTTGTAACCCAAAGGGTAACCGAGGAAGACAAGTCCTAGAACGAGGTGAAAATTTATGACGATGACTATCGAAAGTGGAGCAGTAACATAGACAACCAAAGGTACGCAAATGATCATAGGATGATTTTTTGTGAGTTAATAATTCAAAAAGAGTTTTATTAGATAACAATGGGGAAGGTGTACGGTTGATCAGGTAAACAGCAGTCAAGACGTAATCGCCCCAATAGACAATGGGGACATGGAATTGAAACAATAAGGCACGTGTCACATTTAAAATGTGTTGATGTTTGCGTTCGACAACAGAGTTTTGTTGGAAAGTCTCAACACATGAATGATAAGAAACAATGTCTTTTGATATGAAAAATGAATAAAAATTCAACTCATGAGCATGTCAGATCTCACAGATTTAATGAGAGTTTTATATTGTATAAGGATGAGAGTATAAAAGTCAGAAAAAATGGTAAGAACATTCGACTTTTGACGAAGAAGATACACTCAAGTAGTGCGAGTGCAATCATCAACAATTGTAAGAAAGTATTTGTATCTCTCGATAGTAGGTGTAGAAAAAGAACCCCCAAATGTCAATGTGGATTAAATCAAATAGACGATCAGATAATTTATTGTTAGAAACAAAAGGCAATTTACGTTGTTTAGCCAAATGACAAATTTTGCAATGAGAAATATTCAAAATCTGTAAATCTTTATTAATGTATTGAAGTTTTACATAGGAAGCATGACCCATTCTAAAGTGTTATAGGCTACTTTTAGAATTAATAGAAATAGAATTAACAGCGAGAAAATGAAGATGTCTAGTAATTAAGTAGTAAAGGTTGCCAATGCGTCTACCCTTCCCAATCGACAAGTCTCGAGTGTGGTCTTGGATGACACAAGAATGAAGAGAAAAATTAACCGTACAGTTGTGGGTGGTAGTCAACATGCTTACACTGACAAGGTTAAAGGAAAAATGAGGGATAAATAAAACATCATGTAGGGTTAGGGTGTCGGTGAGGAATACATTTCCAAGTTGAGTGATTAGCACCAAACTAACATTTGGTAAAGTGACTGGGATGGGTTCAACATGCTTAAACGTGGTGAAAGGGTGGGTGTGCAACATATGTGGTGTGTGGCTCCAGAGTCAATAATCCAGCATTTAGAGGTAAGTGTGTGTGTGAAACTGGAAAGGCAGAAGGTTATGGGTGATATACCTGCCGCATGAAGGCCATAAATGGCGTTATTGGTGGAAGGAGAGAAGTTGTCTGGCGAGATGGCGGAGTGCAGTTGGTGGAGCCGTGCGTTTAGGTGGGCAATAATATTCTGAATTTACAACGTGCTCAGAGCATCGACCGAGGTAGCAGAATCAAGCGCCGGCAACGGCAGAGGTGAAGTTCTACGCTTGTCACACAGTTGGGTACGTGCCCGAGGAAGAAGAAGAGTTGTGCCCTGGAGGAGCTTGTTTGTGGGCCGAGACCTGGCTTACAGAAGAAAAAACGGGCCTAGACTCAGACCCAGATAAATTAAATGATCTAGCTCTAGGAGTGGACCGAGAATGTGTTGAAACATTGCGGGCTTGGGCTTGTCCTTCATTAAAAACAGCCTGGTTTGGAGTCAAGCGAGTGCATCTTGGGCTTGGGCTTGAGGCCCGGTGGATACCCATGCAACCGGTAACACCTGTCCACAGTGTGGCCCCTGAGCCCACAGTGTGAACAGGTGGGTCGTCTTCAACCTTGAGCTAGGGCAATGGAAGAAGCAGGCCCCGTAGCCGCCTCTGCGTACGCATCGAAGCCGATCGCACAGTGCATTTCTTCTTGCACCACCAGCGAGAAAACCTTCAAAATGGATGGTGAAGATTCCATCATTAGGATTTGAGCCCTAACAGCAGCATAGGAAGGATTCAAAACCATTAAAAATATCATCACAAACTCCTGCTCCTAATAATCATTCCATGCCTTTATGTTTCCACAATGACAGGTTGGAGCTGGTTGGTAAGTTTTGAGCTCTTCCTAGATTGTTTTCATCCGCTATAATAGGTGTTGATGCTGAGTGATCCTTGAACAAGGTTATTCATGCTCTGTTTCAGTTGGTAGATGCGCGGAGCATTGCTCTGCTGATAACGGAGTCACAAATCGGTCCAGATAGATTGTGCATTCTCATGGTATAACAAACTATCAGCTATCTCCTTTGTTACAGCATTCAACAACTAAGAAGTTACCATGCTATTACAACGTGACCAAGTTGCGGCAGTGGAATCGGTGTTGCTCGGTTTATCGTAAGTTCCGTCTATGAAACCCAATTTATTTTTGGCGTTGAGTGCTATTCTGATTGTTCTCTCCCATATGTTGTAATTGTTGCCATTGAGAAGGTTGGATACCAAGACCAAACCGGGATGGTCGGCACTGTAAAAGAAGAACGGGTTTTGGGAATCATCTAATTGCTCTCTAGCCATTGAAGATTAAATTTTAAAACTTAATCACTGAGCTAAAAATGTTTGATTAATTAATCTGCTCTGATACCATGTTAGAAAGAATAAGAGAGAGCAGCATGATAAGGAGGAAAATTACTCTAATTTTCTGATATTATTCATCGACAGCCAAAGAAAATATATACAGCTTTTGTTGTACAATGGCAGAGAGAAAAAAACAAAAACGGTTACAATTAACACACTAATTTCATCTTATTACTAATTAATCTTAATATCTTCTAATTAATCTTAATAATCCTTACATCAAATGTAAGCCGCCATACTAAAATTATGCACCTCCTACTAACTCAGCAACCATATTTCCTCTTTCTGTGAAACTTTTCAGATGCAGAACCCGCAGTACAACTTGAATTAGTGAGTTCTCGGGGGATGGATGCCCCAGAATATTTCAAAGCTTCAACCAAATCTGGAAACAAAGTCTTATTCTCCATATTCACAAAAACAATTGCTGTACCCTCCTCTCCCATTCTGGACGCCCTGCCAATCTGATGTATGTACTCCTTTATGGAGTTTGGCATGTCAAACACTATAACCTGTCTCACACCCGAGAGGTCAACTCCCCGTCCTAAAACTGCAGTCGACACAATAACAGAAATCTCTCCTACTAAAAATGACCTCATGATTTCTCTCCTCTCCTTCATGGGCTTGTCTCCATGTATTGATAGAGCTTTCACCCCGGTGGTGACAGTGATTGAATCAGATAGGAGATCTGCCCCAACCTTTGAACCCACATAAACCACAGTGGGTGGCTTAAAATGCTGCCTACTCGTCAATATATCAAAAAGCTTTTGCTTCTTTTGCTTTGACTCAACCCAGATAGCCAGCTGCTTCACAGCCTTGCTAGGCCTATTAGGCCTGCCAATAGAGATACTGATAATGTCTTTGGCCATAGACCTCGCCACCTTCTCTACCTCTTGTGAGATTGTTGCTGAGTACATCAAGATCTGAGGTTGTGGTAAAGCCCTAAAAATCTGCATCACCTGATCTTTGAATCCCCTTTGAAGCATGCAGTCTACCTCATCCAAGACAAACATCGATACACTATCTAGTTCAATATCATGCTTTGATAAAAGATCAACAAGCCTGCCTGGGGTTCCAACTACCAGCTCCACCCCTTGTTGGATCCGGTAAAGTTGTCTGGGCATCGCATCACCACCAACCACAAGTGCGGTTTTAAAAGGCAATCCTTTTCCAAGTATCTTAGCCTGTTCCTCAACTTGGATGCAGAGTTCTCTAGTTGGCGCCAGTACCACTGCTAATGGCTTCTTCTGGTCAGAGAAGTGCTCAAGGCGAAAACTTGCACAACGAGAAACGATAGGAACCAAAAAGGAAGCACTTTTTCCTAAGCCCGTGTCTGCCAAAACAAGCAAATGTTTACTAACCAATGCCGCTGGAATTGCTTGCATCTGAATAGGGGTAGGCATCTCAAATCCGGCAGTTTCTATATTTTGGAGCAGCTTCTGAGGAAGGTTGCAAGAAGAGAATGACAATACAGGGGCCGGAACTGCATCTCCTTTCACATGGATATCAAGTCTCCTTCTAAGCAATTCAGTTTGGTCAACAGTCAAAGATGGAGGTCCTGACCTGTCATCAGAATCCCTGATGTAAAAGCACTCATCTGTGACAGGTAATCTTACAGGAGGCAAGGGATCAACGGACACTCCCTTGGTGGCAACCCTTTGTAGCAGAGTTTGTTTACATTCCAAGCTGCAAATATCATCATCCGTCTCATCACATATATATTCACCATAACGACCACATAAAACACATCTAGGCTCCCCAGGAAAAGCTTCTCTTTGGTCTCTGGACTTCTGTTTCACATCATCTACTGCATAAAAAAATATAAAAACACAGAGACATGAGCGGGAAACAGAAGAGAAGATTGCTTATAGCACTAAAGGTGCAAACGCAAAAGCATCAGAACTCAAAAGAGCAAAAAAGGGAACTTTGTTCTCGAAGGATTCATGATCAATCAACCGCTGGATTATAGAAACAATTGTACTCCATGAGATAGTTTTACTAAATGAAAACGCACATGAGGATGACAGAAGAAACACTCCAGAATTAAAAATTCAGAGTAGAACAGAGAAGCAAACTGCAAAACTAAAGTTCGCCAGAGGTCAACAAGAGAAGAAAAATCCACAAAGCAAAGGAAAGCAAATTGCACGAAGAAAATAAGAAGATGCATAAATTGACGGAGACAGCAGGATTCTATCTGTAAATGGAAGGAAATAAGGAAAACAAACTCAGCCACAATAGGAATTCTGTATTTTACCAATGAGTTGGTCACCATCTGTTACTAGTGGTGAGCTTCTGCATTGGATGCTTTTATTCTCGCCCTCCATTTTCATAAGGCATGTGAGCAAGTAAATCCTAGGGAAATGTGAGCATATAATTAACATCATCAAATACTCATTTCGTATCATGACAAAATGATGTGGTCACAAGAATTCCTACATTTCTAAAGACAGCCCCCTCTCACAATAACATATATGAAATCATTTTTACTATGAAGGAATTGATAAACAATTTAATAAACAAGGGCACGGTTACCTTCTGCTGCCATTTGCAATTGTAACCTAAGGATAGGGCTTGGCCTTCAACAGCAATGTACTGGGCAGACCGGATCAGAATGAATTGAATTCAAAGAAGCAGTGTTCTGTCTTCCCTTAGCATCATTTGGAATTTATTAGTGGAGACTGGACTCACAGCAAATAGAAAACTAAATAGGTTAGAAATTCAATCTATACTGATGCAAAATAGGTTAACTTGAGTAAATTGAAGTTGTAATCCTTTTAAATTAAAGAACGGTTATATTATTTAGGAATCCATTATCATAATTTTGGAGTCTATTATTATGGTTTTAGTGATTTTAACCAAAGCTGCAATATCAAGACTCTTCCATCAAGACACACAAAAAATATTCAAGGTTCAAGCTAACAAAGGATGAACGACCATGAAAAGAGTAGTAATAATTATCAAACCAAACCTAACACATACTTACTGATTATCAATGAACTTGAATAGAAGCTCCAAAGCATACATTGAATAAAACTCTGGGAAAGCTAAACAAGAAATACTAGATTCATAAAAAGGAAATAATTACCAAACCAAACCTAACACACATACCTATTGACTATCAATGAACTTGCATAAAAGTTCCAGAACATAAATTGAGTGAACCTCTGGGAAAGCAAAACAAGAAATTACTAGACTCGTAAAAAGAAAATGTGGAAACCAGCCTACAACACCAAAATATTATGAAAACAAATGTAAAGACAATTAGGAGTAACGAATATCAGACAAGAGATGATCCCCACACGAGATGGATTACACAACCTAAATATCTAGAAATTTTCATATAAAATCCAAAATTAACAAACAACGAGTGACAGGAAACAAGAAAACAAACATGTTAGAAACATCCGAATTTTACCAGACTCCACGAATCATCTAACCAAGTAAAGAGCAGCAGAGGACAACGAAAGCAAGCAGAAAGCAAAAATAAAAGCTGTAACCAG